CCGTGCCGTGACGTATCTCATAACTTCAATATCCCAAAGTACTCGAACCTCCCCCTTACCCCCCTAAAGTATCATACCAAAATTGAAACCACCTATAGCAGTGAAAATAAATATCAAGTGCGTTGTTAAACAAAAAAGAACACTGGCACCTTTTTCAAAAAAAAAAAAATTCTCGAAATTCTCTCTTGGTTGAATAACTCATTGCAAATGAATTTGAAAATTTTTCTGCTGACAAATTAATTGATTGAATGTGACCGATGATTGAATGACCGATTTCCACGGTTTTCATGAATTAATCAACATTTTTTCCCTTTGGTACATATAATAGACTACTGTAATTGAAGTTGAATATTGTTTATCTGCCTTTAGGGGATCGTTATATGTGCGGAAATTAATAGACAACTTTTCCCTCATTACGGCGAGACTGAAAAATAATTAATGAAAGAAACTGGGAGTGGCGAGAGGTGCATTGGGAACAAGTCGTTCCCCACGTAGGTGAGGTCATCAGATGATCGATCGAGAGGGGTGGGTCCTCTCCGATAGCAATGATAAACTGATAAAAAATCATGAGGCTGAAGTGACAGTGACCTCGCGTCACGATTAGACAGTTTAATTTACATCTCTGAATATGGAACTAGAACAGTGCCTGTCGTTGGTTTTAAAAACTATGAGATAATCACTGGAGTTATTAACAATCTCCAAGTACCTATTGTTCATCGGTGAAAATTCTTAAAAACTATTCAATTATACTGCATCAGCAATTGCAGCGCAGGATCTCAAGTGAAAAACAATTTCCAAAGTACTTTTACATCCTCAATGAAGCAATCGTATGTATTCTCGTCGTCTTCATCCGTTTGCGAAGGCTAATAAGAGCAATGCAATTCGTCACGAATTATTCAATCGTTTTAGAATGAAACGAGAGTGTGAGGATAATTTGTCACCCACGCGAACGCATTTCGTGGGTATTTTCGCATTAACGACGAGTAGTTGTGGGAATTGTTCAGTGTTCCAATTGTACGAGTTATTTTAATGGTTGGGCTTTATGAACCCAGATAGTAACACTGAGTTTTGCAAACGTTTTGCAATTATTCGGCAATTGATTGATTCCTCCATTATACCTGTCATTTAATGGTTCATTTTTTAATAACAAATTGATTAATCGAAAATTTAATGTTACATTTCCCTCAATTTTCCTGATTTCTGTCATTTTTTTACGCGATTAATAAATTCAATTTCAGTTTCGATAATTTTTAAAAATAAAAGTAATAATACAAGTAATAATTACATTGCAGTGGTAAAATCTTGTCGTATAATTTTGCAATGTACAAATTCAAATCCACTTGTCATTATCACAATTTTTCAGGAGACGTCAACCGTCCAGGGTTTCTGGGATTGGTGAAATATTCAAACGAGGTGTAACTGAATTGTTTAAAGTTTTGAATGTTACTTGAACGATGACATAAATTCACTTGGAGTCATTTTGTAAATAGCCCCTGCATCAGAAAATCTGAGTGGGCCAGACGTCACCCGGACGTCAACTTGCTCGTACAATAAATTTAGATGTCATGTTTCTTCAAGCCCGTGGGGGTCCTATTACCCTATGATGTCATGAACCGTAAATGACAGCTTCCGGAATACGAGATAATCTCGGGAAAATAACCATCTCGTATTTTCTCAGTTATCCGTCAATTGGCAATCGCTCGCCAATACATGTCCTTCGAATCATATTTCAGGTCTGTTGGATTTACCAATCAATTCTCTATTTACAATGCGTGGAGAATAGACGAAAAAATTACCAAAACATTCCACTGAAAAATACTAGTACTTTTCCATAAACGAAATTATATTGAATTCCCCTTTGATCCTTCCGAAATTGTCTCAAAGTTCCATTAAATCTCCGTTTAACCATTCGACTCCTTTTCTTTTCATTCATCTAAATATAAAGCTATAAATATTATCCATGAACGATTTTCATCAGAAATCGAGTAAAAATTCCCAGGGAAGGATATGTTCCTGGTATTTCTTCCCAAGAGGCAGACTGTAAAACGTTGATAAATAAAAAAAAAACTCAGGCCATCCAATCATGAGTTGAATGACAGGAAAGTAGAACCTGACGTTGGGACTGGAAATGTTTCCATTTTTCATTAATCTAGTGGATCTCACAAGGGGATGATTCCCTTTATGGCAAGACCAGATCTTCCACCTGTCCCCGAGTGGAACTGTTTACCAACTTGCCAGTTATGGTCATCAACTGGTCTACTTTTCCCATAAAAATCAAATGTTCTCTTACCAAATATAGAAACCAATCCAAAATGCAGCCCAACCCTCACAATTAAAACCAAAACCGTTCAACTTCAACTCCAAAATGAAAATTACACTCCAGTCGATATACGAATTTATCCGAAGAATTATCGGTTTAATTGGTATTTTTATCAGCAATCAGTTTGATACTCACCGTATTGTGAATTACCCCAGCACGAGAGGAAAAATAGATATCCTTGAGAATCCTGGGAAGTGGAATGGAACAATGACGATTGACACCAGATAATTCAAGAGGTAATTAATTTTTTTTT